CCAGAGCAGGTGGCCCAGCCAAGGCGTGTCCCAACTCCCAAGCCATGAGAATGATGAGAAAATAAATGTGTGTTGTTTTCAGCCACTAAATTTGGTAATTTGTCATGCAGCAACAGAAACCTAACATTCACTCCATATCAGTTATGTCAGAATTCTCACATGGGATGGAAGCATCAGTGGCTTTACTCTCCAGACGTTTCCAATATGCAATATACAATTTGAGAAGCAGTGCCTGGACCACTGGGTGAGGTTAGTTTTCACAGATGTTGAGCCCCTTGATCCCTCATCCCTCCCCCAGTAAACCTGGTCTTAGACTAATCGATACCCAAGCCAGTCTCCATAGGGACCCCTAGCAGCCACGGTCCATCTGACCACCCATCACCCCACCCTGTGAATCAGACACCTCCCCGTGACTTACCACAAGCTGCAATGTGTGTGGTCCTAACACATTAGGGCCTCGATGGGCTGAAGTCATGACCTGGAGGCCAGCGGGGCCCAGAGCCTGGCACCCAGACCTGCCCATGTTCCAAAGCCCCATCCCCATTGGCCATGGACACACAGCTCTTGCAGTGGAGAAGGGTGAGGGGGGAGAAGCTGAAAAGAGTGAGTGGACGAGCATGGACAAGACTGACGGACCGGAAGAGGACCAGGACAACTGCCCTGGTCAAGCTTAAAGGCCCGTACTGCCCCGAGGGCTGGGCAAAAACGCCCATCTGAGACCCTCAAGAGGAAAGAGGGGATGCCCTGTGCAGCACCCTCTGAGCACCAGGAGTTTCTTCGAGCTTACAGCAGTAGTTATCTTTGTGTCACCCACGAGGCCCTGTGTGGCTCCTGAGGCTTAGAGAACATTCCAGAGATGTTTGTGGGGTGGACACATTCCTGCTTCTTCCCTGGCTTGGTTACCTCTGTCCTCGGGATAGCCGTGCAGGCATGAGTGACCTCCTGCGTTCCCGGGCACAGCCTCTGCAACCCCTGGATGAGCTCCGAGCCAACCTGGGCTGGCGCCTTTCCCAGGCACAGGCTCCACCACAGGCTTCCATGTGTCCGGGAATCTGATCTAAGTATGGCCAATGGTGCCCAACCACCCAACCTGAGAAGCCGTCCAGCCCACGCAGGCTTGGATCTGGGGGCAAGTGGCCCAGCTGGAATCAAACCCTCAAAGAAAGAGAAGTGTGTTTAGATAATCAAGTGACTCACCAAATAGAACCTTCTTGGAAATTTCTTATAATAATGAAGACTAAGAGGGATCACTGCATATTCTAACCCAGTCCAAGGGCTTGGATTTTAAACAAACCTTTATACTGTTGCTCTTATGTTACAAAGCAAAATCCAGCCCTCGACTCCAGTCTCAACATTTGCAGGAAGCATTTCAGCAGCAAAGGCAATTGCATTTTTTATTGGCTTTCCCCTCTCATTCCTCCTGACAAGCAATAAAGAAGAAGATAGACGGTTTCATATCTTTCTTGCATAAATTTACTATGGAGAGCTCTTCAGAGAGACGCTGCCTGTTGATGCAGAGGGATACCTCTGCTTTCGTGGAGGATAGGCACATGGCGACGGCCACCAGGCGATGGGATGTGCCTGGGGCTGTGGAGAACAGATGTGCTCTGAAAGACTGCCTATCCTTTCCTTTTTATATTTTTTTGCTGACTTGCCCCATAAAATTAGAGTTGTGTTTCCAAAAGGAACAGAAAGGTATGAAGACAAGAACAAATAATAATTCTCTGACCAACTGATGCTAAAGGACTCCAAGTAAGCTATAAAAATGAGTAAAGTTCATGAGTTTATTGTAAAATAATTTACAGAGCCATCGGTTTCTGTCTCTCCACATACCTGGGGTCACACACAAGCGGGGGCCTCCAGTAGCATGCTCCAGTTTCCCTCAGAGGCACATACTTCTATAGGGACATTAAATTTTGATGCCATAATAAATCTGAAGTAAGAGCAAGTGTCTTGGATTTCCACTTTCATGTTATATGCACATAAGTGTGTGTGAGTGATTGTCTTCATTTGTTTTTGTCTTACCATTTGAAGTAGATCAGCCACCTCTTTTTTCCCTTTTGTTTTGAGGGACTGGTCTTTGTTGGCCAGTTTCACATCCAGCTCCCCAGCCCTCCTCCAGTCATGGCCCCATCATCCTTTCCACCTCCAGCCAATGCCAATTAGAGGTTTGACCTTGAAGGACACTCTTCCCCAAAGCAGGCCGTTTGCTCTTTCCAGTCTCTGGACAGTGCAAGCTTCAGGGACATCCTGGGGGACAAGGGCTCCTCGTTATGGAGGGCCCACATGCACACCCGCGGCAGAAACAAGTCTGTGGCGTGGCCACGCTCTCCAGGACATCGTCCCATTTGATTTTCCTCCTAGGGCTTTTGACTGTCTGAAATTGGGGTGCTTACCTGCTGGGGAGATTATTGTGTCTCTCCTCACTCACATGTAGTCTCTAGAACAGTCCTTTTTTACCACTGAATTTCCTAACCTAGGACAGGCACTCGGCAGATATTTGTCAAATGGATGGGTGGGTGGGTGGGTGGAGGGATGGATGGGTGGATTATGAATCCTCGTGGGAAAGGTCCAAATGGGCACCAATATCCAGCTACTCTGTCTCATTGCAGTAGGATTTTGACATGGATGGGGAGAAACGCCCAGCCCTTTGTGCCAAGTCTACCTGCCAGAGGCAGATTTGAGGCTGAAAGTTTGTGTTTTAACAGTTTGTGTGTAAATTATATTAAATGATATTAATAGGCCATGTCTTATAGAGAGAACTTGGGTTATGGGGTTTCCAGGGAAGGGCCGCCGTGGACACACCGGCACCTAGTGAGTTGGTGCTGCGATCCTAGCTAGAAAGAGGGCACCTGGGGAGTGAGGGAGGAGCCAGTGTGGGAGCCTCGACACCCCCGAGGGGAAAACCACGAGAACTCAGGGCGGGCGCTGGAATCAGTTACATGCTTCACTCTTTCCTCAGCTGCTGCCCCTCACAGCAGTTGTGCGTTGAAAGTCCCCTTGGCATGAACTGACGGTGCTTCAGTTAATTAATCTTATTCTCAAGAGTTGTTAGGACGCCTTTCAGAAACATGATGGTTTGTGCAGAGATGTCACCTTGAGTATGTCTGGGCAGCAGTCCTTCCTTAATGCCTGATGTGGAAGGGAGATTTTTATCACAGTTTACGATTATTCTGTCAGGTGTGGGGCAGGAAAAAAGTGAGAACAAGAGAGAAAGGAAATGTTTGCTTGGAAAGCCCAACTTTCTTGGCCCCTCGAGGAGACAACTCTATTACAATTTCTCCTGAGGAGCGTGGGATGGAGAGGGGAACTTGAGCCCACTCACCTCTGACTTATGTGAGCTTATGGTTCATCTGAATAGGCTGTGTTCTCTGGTTTCAATTAGGGACATCCAAATAAGGTGATGCCTTCACACGCTGAAGTGGATTCCGGACCCTGAGCTTCCACCCCTCCCTCTGGGGAGTGTGCCCACTGGCCTCCTAGAGTCACCCACACTTACCACAGCCCTACGAGGCAGGAGTATAATTGCCCTGTTTTCCGCAGAGGAAACTGAGGCCCAGAGAGGGGAGGAAATGTGCTCATGGACACAGGGCTGACATTCCAGGGAGAAAAATCACACCATGTCTCCCACCTGATCCCTGTTGTCACCGCCCCCCTGTGACCCAACATGGAGATGTGTAGGCCTCGAGACTGGGTCCATGAGGTGCTGTGTCCTGGCTGCATGGGGAAGGACACAATACTTGGTCAAGGAAGGCTACGAAGCACCGGATGGGGGATGGGCACATCATGACTGTGACCGTACCACGTGGTGGGTGTGGCTTCCTGGAGAGTGATTGGCTTCAGGCCCCAGTGGGAGACTCAGGAAGGAGGGAGTCAGACCCCAAAAGGCCTTGGTCAGCTCCCTGCCCTTCTAGGAGCAGCCTTGGTCCCTCATCTCCTGGTCATGACGTCCTGCAGAGCCACAGGCCACATGTGAATGGCCTTCTCTCCATTTGCACCTCGAGGGAAGGACAGACACCCATGCAGCATGCATGCTGGACAAACCCTGCGGTCCGTGGGGGAGGAGCTGTGCTGTCCTGAGAGGGGGTGACAGGGGATGGGGTGACAGGGAGTTGGGATGAAGGGAGAGGGAGAGAGCAAGAGGCCTGAGGTGCTGGTGGCTGGGGGACGTCCCCTTGTGGATGGGAGACACCTGAGAACCCTCCTCAGGTCCTCAGCCTGGACCAGTGAGGAACTGAGTGTCCACAGAGCAGGGCTCTCTGTTCAGCCCAGAGCGGCGGTCGGGGGAGGGTCCAGGGTCCAGGAAGCTGAAGAACTGCTGCCGCCTGCGGGGTTGTTGGGCAGCCACCCCTAAAACCTAGCGTGCTAGGCGCTAAAGTATCTCCGCCAGCCTGTGATTCACTTTGAGAATTACTAAGCAGAAAAACTCCCATTTCCCATTCAGTGTTACTTTAAAAGATTTTCTCCACACATAATGAGTGTTATTATGCAAGGGAACCGTAATTTTTTCCAAGGGAACTCATTTCCAATTGTGTTACTAAATTTAGTGGCTAATGACCTTCAGTAAGAGAAGCTAGCCCCAGTGGGCATCTTTCAGAGGATGCTGCCTCTCCAGATAGTGGCTTTTTAACACTTGTAGCAGGGCACAATGCTCAGTAGCCCCGACACCCACACACCCACCCAGGAGGGGAAAGGCCTTGCCCAGAGCGAGGGGTCCGCCATCTGGGTGAGGACAGTTTCCTCCCCTGAATGTGCTCTGGCCTCTGCTGCCCTTGGGGATGGACTAGCGTTCAGGGCTCGCCCTCCTCCGCCCAGAGCTGTGCAGGGGGCACAGTGGGCAGCCCAAGCCCCTGGACCTGTGAGCCTCCAGGAACAGCTCCTCTACTTGCAGGACCTGAGTTCCTCCTCTGTTAGATGTTCTGAGTGTGCCCCAGAAGCCCCACAGGTCCTGGTGTCCTGTTCGACTTTCTCTTTGCACTTCAGTCCTGATATTCACCTACCGTCAGGTTCACCAGTTCCGTCTTCTGCTTGTTGAATCTGCTGTTGAACCCGTACAAGTCTGTCATTTCGGGTAATGTGCTTTGCAGCCCAAGATAGTCCGTCTGATTTTACGGCTCCCGTTCACCGTGGACGCTCTTCTTCTCTCCCTTCACTCTCTTTCATGTGTCGGTCAGTTATTCTGAAGCCCTTTTGTGGCGATTCCGGTTGATGGCAAGACCCTTTGCTCTCACGCTAAATGAGAAAAATAAGGGAGAGCTTCTCATGAAGTGAAATTTATTCAATTTAAAATCCTTTAGTCAGATATGGACTTTGAACCTCTGATGTGAAAATCTTTTATGGAAAGATGCCTTGGTTGGTAGCCCCGTATTGTTCCCCCAATTTGACTTATCTATCTATCCAGAAATTCAGAGAGCCTGGCAAGGCCAGATCTGGCCCTGGTTTTGAGAGTGTTGAGTGGCTCAGCAGACGTGGGGACTGAGCGTCAGTGCAGCCACTCGGCACTGGCGTTCTGAGTGTCGGATCCATGCAATTGTCACAGAGTAGTGCTTTGAGATTTTGAGAGGCTGTTTCCCACAACCCCAAATTCCTTGTCCCATTTCCCACCCCACCAGATAGGTGTGTGGGATCTCGCTAAGCCTGGGTGTGAGCGGGCAGGGCACAGCCTCACGGAGCTGAGGGCCTGTCCCAGAGCTCCTGCAGACTTCTGCTGGCCCGCCTGAGGGAAAAGCCCAGGCGCTACTGATGTGTGCTAAGAGAAAAGGCTTTTCCTAGGAATTCCAGAGCTGGGCAGGAACTACTAACAGCACAGGATGGGTCTGTGGTCTGCTGGACAATGTCCCCAAAGATCTCCACGTCCTAATCCCAGAACCTGTGAATATGTCACCTTTCATGGCTAGAGAGACATTGCAGGGGTGTGTAAGTTAGAGACCTTGAGATGAGGGGTTAGCTTGGATTCAGGGGGGCCCAAATGGCCTCATGAGGGTCCTTATAAGAGGGAGGCAGGGAGTTAGTAAGAGACAGAAGGTGTGAGGACAGAAGCATAGGTCAGCAAGAAGAGAAGACGCCACAAGCCAAGGGGTTCGGGCACCTCCAGAAGCTGGGAAAGGCAAGGGAGGCTCCCCTGGAGCCTCCAGAAAGAACCAGCCCTGGGCCAGTTTTGGACTTTGGACCTCCAGACCTGTAGGAGAATAAATTTGTGCTGCGTTAAACCCCTGAGTTTGTGTTATTTGTTCAGCAGCCACAGGAAACTCACACAAGATGAATGTGTTTCTGCCTGGATGGTTCTGGGGGTTCTGGAGTAGGGACACTGAGACGCCCCATTTCCAATGCACTCCCTGAGGTGGAGGCAGCCGTGGCCGAGGGCAGCATCCAGGGGGACTGGTGCACCTCGGGCAGAGTGTGGCTAAGGCATGAGGAGGCAGTTGGGGGGGACACCGGGCAGACACGATGCTCACTTGTTGGGAGGGTGTTCACCCTAAATCTGGCTCTTCTCACAGCTGTTGTAGCTGGGCACAGGGCCCCTGCTGCCTTGAAGTAACTGTGGCAACGGTATTGCTGATGGGCACGTGAGTAGCCTTGCCGGGGCTGGGTGGAGGCTTCAGACACCCACAAGGTTTGACATAAAAGAACCTGAGGGAGATTCCAGGGGCTCTCAAGTCATCCCCTAAAGTGCTTTGGGTAGAAGAAGACCCCAGGAAAGAGGTTCCAGCCCTACTGTGGCCCTGTGGGGACAGTGGTCACCCCACTGTTCTGTCCAGCCCCTGCTGGGGGTCTGGAAGTATGGAGGGCAGACCCAGGCTTGTCCTGGAGGGCCCACAGTCCATGCGATCCCGACAGGCAGGTGCTGAGAGTGGCCTGGGGAGGTGGGGAGTGGGGAGAGCCGGGCCCAGGAGTCCAACCTAGAGGGGCTGGTGCAGAGCCCATCACTCCCCACAAAGCACTCCCAGGGGCTTTCAGCAGCTTCTGAAGGTATGGTCATAGCACATATTTATTCTAGGAAATTAGGAGAATATGGAAATCTATAAAGAAAATTCAATAACTTCCAATACCACCACCTAGAGATATTCTCAGCTGATAGTATATTTCTCCCCAGTCATTCTTTATATGCTAACAGACATGTGACACCCAACACGTGTACACAGGGCACAGACATGTGACACCTGACACATATACACAGGGGCAGGAGCCCACTTGTAAGTATCACGCTCAACACTTGCACACATGGCTGCAGACTTTTTTTTTTTTATAATTTTATTTATTTATTTTTCCCCCAAAGCCTCAGTAGATAGTTGTATGTCATAGTTGCACATCCTTCTAGTTGCTGTATGTGGGACACAGCCTCAGCATGGCAGGAGAAGTGGTGCGTCGGTGCGCCCCTGGGATCTGAATCCGGGCCGCCAGCAGCGGAGTGTGCGCACTTAACCGTTAAGCCATGGGGGCGGCCCCCAGACTTTTTTTCCTTTACATAATGAAAGCAATACTGTGTACATGAACTTATAATCTGCTTTTTTCTTTTCATTTAACAGATGCTGATGATTTTATATTAGTTCTTCTTCAAAAACTTTTTTTCTGTGTGTGTGCAATATTCCACAGTGTGACCGTATCCTAATGAAAACCTACCTTTGGGCACTGATGCTATTTCCCAGTTTCTACTCCTTCATATTATTCCAAAATGGACTTGCTGTTTGCAATTTGAAACTCATTCCTCTAAATGTCGACGTCTTCTGCTGACCTCTCGTAGGTTCGGGTTGCAATCTTCCTGTCATGAATAACGCATTCTCTTCTGTCTGTCTCATGCACCACGCTCATTATTCTCTTCATCCCTGGGCCACCATTTTTTGTTTGTAAAAGGACCTGAGGTTTGAAGCCACACGAACAGGTCTGAGGCAGCCCCAAGCTGTCAGAAGTTCTAGATTGTTCCTCACAAGGACCAACCCGTGCATTCTGAAGGGTGTGTGGATGTTGGGAGGCCGTGCCCATGTCTCCATGACTCCCAGAGAACAGACGCACACTCGTCCCACCGTGGACAGCCACTTGGAGACTCCTCTCGGAAGCCTCGCTGGCTGACCAGCGTGGGACCACTGCTCTCAGAATCTCGGTACTGTTGTCCCAGCACCTCGCTGGCCCTTTGTTCCATCTCCTCCTTCTGACGATGGTGCATCCCGAGAGGGCAGTTGGCATGCCGTTCTTGCTCTTTGTTAAGGCTTCAGTGCTTGGCACAGGGGGAGCCCAGTTAGCACCTGTTGAAAAGATAAGTGGATGGATCAATGAAAAACAAATGAGCGGATGGTGACAGCTCCACAGGAAGCAAGGCTCTGTCCTCTGGGTCACGGGACCATGTGGACCCATGTGGATCCCAAGTGCCAGGAGACGGAGGAGGATGGGGGCTGCTCTTCCCTCCTGGTGTCTAAGTGCCTTCACTCGTCCCAGCTTAACATTCACCTCGCAGCCAGGTGAGCAGGACCGGGTGGCCTAGACCCACCCAGACCCTGGAGGCCATGAGCTAAGGTGATGGTATTGGGAGTTATTGAATTTTCTTTACAGATTTCTGTATTCTCCTAATCTCCTAGAATAAATATGTGTCAGGACCATAACTTCAGAAGCCACTGAAGTTCAAGGCTGAGGGCAGACCCCTCAACACGTGAGCCCCAGCACTAGGTACTTAAAGGGGGCCTGGGCAGTGGGTGGAGGCACTGATGGGCCAGCTCTGTGCGCCCTCACTGTGGGGACACAGCCACCCCTGGCCTCAGCACTGTTCACTTGCTGAAGGTGGGAACCAGTGGAGCATGTGAGGGGTGGAGGCATGGACTCTGCCACCAAGATGTCCAGGTAGAGCCAAGGCCTGACAACCCTGGGCATTGAGAAGGGGAACAGGAAAATGCCTCCCTGATGGTTTCACTTTGTGTCCTGAGTCTCTTCTCTGTGTCAGAGACCTAAGTCCAACTCAGCTGTGGCCTCTGGGTACTCGGCTGTGAGGGGAGACAGAAAAACAAGTGAATTATACACAGCGATAGAGGCAATGATAAAGGTGTATAGATAGACCAGAATTGAAGCAAGGGAGGTGATGGCTCGTGGGTTTGGCAGACAAGTGAGAATTCACCAGGAGCGTCACTATTACTCATTAGTGTCCCAGCCCTGGGAGGGGCCAGAGAGGGGGCACATTGCATCCCTGCAGGTCATGGAACCTCCCCCACCCCCCACTCCACATGCTCTTCCAAATTACCTGAGGCAGCCACCATCCTTCTCAGCTGGGAGTCCCTCCCAGTCACTGCCTGGCAGGCGAGGGCCAGGTTCCCCAGAGCACCAACCTCCACCAACAGTTCACAGCAGGGCTGATTCCTTCTTCAAGACTGGTGGGAGGGAGCAGGAACGAGTCTGCTTTGAGTATGTATATGTATATGTGTGTGTATAAGTACCTATAAATGATGTATATATGTATAAAAATATATAAATACATGAGTGTATGTACGGATATAAATTATAACATAATATATACTATTTATAATGAATGCAATAATGCATATATATATAAAATAATGTAATCGAAGGAGTGCCACTCCTTTGCCACTTCTATTGGTTAGAAGCAAGATACAGTTTCTACCTTCAAGCATGGGGAGGGCGGAACCAACTAGGGGTCACCTCAGGGTGTCTGCCACTTGCTGTGACATGAGCATTGGGACTTTTCAAACCCCCAAGACAATTTCAACTGCAGCAAAATTTGGGAATCACTAATCCAAGGAATGTTGCTATTGTCTAATTCCAGAGGCAGGTTGTGCCCTCCCCAGCAGGCACTGCCCAGTGAAGGCCCAGCTGCTGACCAGGAATCCAGACACAGACTTGTACACTTGGGAACACTCATCACATCATTGGCACTGGTCAGCTCAGTGTGGTGAGGCCCTAGGTTCTTGGTCCACAGACACAAAAGAATTTGAGAGCAGACACACAGCAGAAGTTTTAACAGAGGAAGATTTATTAGCAAAGAGAAAGTAGACCCCCAAGGGGAGGGGTGGGCAGGCTCGAGGGGGAGCAACTGCACCAAAGTTGTGGTGGTCAGTGATTTTGGAAT